GCGCGGCGGGTGCGCGCACGTGCGGGCGCGGGGGGCCCGTGGCGACCGAGTTCCCTCCCCTCAGCGTGGATGCGTGTCCCCTGCCCAGCAGTGGAGGCCTCTGTGCCTCAGGGTCCCCAGAGGGACCCCCGAGGCCAGCAGCACCCCCGCCGCAGCCCCGGCCACCCCTGGCCTCTCCTCGGAGCTGGGTGGCGCAGGCTGGGGCGGCAGCCGGCTGCTCTCACCACAGGGAGTGGCCACTGGGTGGCCGCCGCGGAAGCTGTGGGTCCGTAGGGCTGGCGCAACTGCGCGGGGGTGCCCAGCTCCGGGGCCCCGGAGACCGTGGCCGGAGCGCCGGACCCTTCTCGGAACGTGGGGTTGCAGAGCCCCAAGGCTGCCTTGGGCGCCGCGCTCCTGGGGAGACAGGGCCGGTTGCGCTCAGCGGCGGCCTCCAGGCGGCCGGCTCTGGGTCCGCGTGGCCAGGTGGAGGCCTTGGGAGGCCACTGCCAAGCGTGTCCCGCTGTGGCCGGCAGGGCCCGGACTTTGCGCTGGTGCACCGGGGCGGGGGGCGGGGGGAGGGCGCCTGGGCTCCGCCCCTCCGCCCGCAGGGCCTCACCTCCTCCGGACCTTGCGGCGGATGACCACGCCCGCCAGCACCAGCGTGGCCAGGAGCGCCACCGGCACCAGCATACCCAGCAGGAAGCTTCTGTACGCTGCGGGCGCAGAAGGCCACGGTCAGGGGCAGGTGGCTGCGCCACAGGCCACCGCGCGCTTTCCCAGGCCGGTCTCGGGGCCCGGAAACCAGCCCCGCAGGACTGAGACCAGCCACGCTGGGGGCTGGTGACAGGGGTCGCAGCCCGCCGGGTGCTGTGGGCAGCCCCGGCCCGAGGCCCGGCCCGAGGAGGTCGCCATTCCCGGGCCCAGCAGCTGGGCTGGCGGCAGACACGGGTCCTGGGCCGTGGGGCTGGGGTGGGCATGCGCGGGCCGCAGCCCCCTCAGTGAGGCCCCGCGGGGGGTGCGCCCCTGTGCACTCCGTCCACCCAGATGGGCCGGACAGGGTGGCCCCTGGCAGACCGCAGGCGGGGGAGGCCAGGCCCTACCTGGACGCGTGAGGGTCAGCGCCTGGGTGCAGTCGGGTGGGGCCCAGCCTAGCTGGCAGTGGCACTGGCCCTTGTGGTTGCACACCTGGGGGACAGGCGGGGGCCCCGAAGGGTCTGCTGAGACCCACAAGGCCGGGGACACCTGGGCACGTGGGCGCCGTCCTCACCAACCCTGGGATGGGCCACCTGCCCAGACAGGTGGGGGCGCTGACCACCGGCCAGGGCCCACAGGGGCAGGGAGGGGCCTCCGGGGCAGGCAGTGCGGGTGCAGCCCCAGGGGCGGCCCCCAGAACCTGCCCGGCCTCGGTGCTCTGGCGGCCACGTGGCCCACGTACCCCATGGGGGCCGCACTCGGAGGAGCAGCTTCTCCTGTAGACCCGGAGGTCCTGGCAGGCCCCCTGCCAGCAAACCTAGGAGACGGGCGGGCACTCAGGCGGGCCCAGACCCTGCCCCTCCCCAGCAGCCCCCTGAAACCGGCCGCGCCTGGGGCGGCCCCTCAGGCAGCCCAAATCCAGCCCTCTGGGCGCGGCCTGGCTGGCGCCTGCGGCCGGGGCGGCCAGGTAGGGTGGGCAGCAGCCCGGCCAGAGCGGGGCAGCGGGCACTCACCTTGTCCTCTCCGCACTTGGTGCCTTCGGGCACGGGCTCGTAGGCGGCGCCGTCCAGGCCCAGAGCCTGGCAGATGGCCAGGCCGCTGGTGAGCGTGCAGGAGCTGCGCTCGGGGGGCTTCTGCCCCCCCTCACAGAACAGGACCCCGCACCTGCCAGCGCTGCATACAGGGGACGTGGGGGGCCATCCTGCCCGGCTGCCCCCGCGCCCCTCAGGGCACCTGGTGCTGCAGAGGGGACCCAGCCCCCCCACAAGCTGTGGGTCGCTGATGGGGCTGCGCTCCAGGGATGGGGGGGTGCCGGCCCGCCCCGGAAGGCAGGGCTTTCGCAGCGCGCCAGACCCTGTTGGGGGGCCCCCACCACACCCGGCCTGCACCCTGCCCCAGGGGTCAGCGGAGACCCTCACCCGCCGCCGGAGCTGGTGGCACTGCAGCCGGGCAGGATGTTGTACCGGTAGCAGTTCTCGGAGGCAGCCCGGGCGCCTGCGGGGCGGGGCGTCAGCGGAGGCCCCGCCCCACTGACCCACC